TCATAAAGAATAGGGTAGTCAAGAGTACAGACAGTTAAAAACAAGGAGCATTAAAATGAGCTCACTTTATAGTTTGACACAATGAATATGTCTTTGCTTATACAAAGGCAGGTTCTTTTTAACACAGTAGTCATTCAAGTAAAGTCTTTAAAAATGGACAGTGGAAGATTGAGTTGTCTGTGTAACGACAGAAGAAAAAACGACTAAGTTTGTTGATTGCACAGGAGAAATAATATCAACAATTTGAAAGTTTACTTCCGTGTAGACACAAGTGATGCCTCAGTTTTTTTTTCCAACTTATTTATTCACTCATTCAATCAGCACATATTTTTTGATAACATGCACTAAGTAAAAGGATGCCAAGGATCTTACAACCACTATTTTATTTGCTGATAATTCTCAACATTTCACAGCGCATTTCTTAAAAACTTCTAGGGTCTTCACATCTTTTAAAATAGAATGATGTCTGCTACTAAAGTTTGGTGAAAACATAAACAGTTTAAATATATTTTCCCTTCAAAATGGAGCATTATTGAGGAATATGAGGCCATAATATATGGAAGTATGCAGGGGTTACAGGAATCTGATGAGCAGGCTTATGGCTGGGGTGGAGCAGTCAGCTGATTTCACCTACCTGCTGTGGTGATCTTGGCTATTTTGTATTTTAATTTTTTTTATTCCCAGTCATATGTTATTTATTTACTTATTTAGGCTTAAAAACAGAAGAAATTTACATCTCACAGTTCTGGAGGTTAGGAAGTGCAAGATCAAGGCACAGGCATGTTTGGTGTGTAGTGAGGGCCTGCTTCCTGGTTCATAGAGAGCGGTCTTTTCTCTGTGCACTCACATGGTGAAAGGGTCAGGGAAACTCTGGTTTCTCTCTTAAAAGGGCACCAATCCGGCTCAAGCCTGTCCCAGCACTTTGGGAGGCCGAGGCGGGTGGATCACGAGGTCAAGAGATCGAGACCATCCTGGTCAACATGGTGAAACCCTGTCTCTACTAAAAATACAAAAAATTAGCTGGGCACGGTGGTGTGTGCCTGTAATCCCAGCTACTCAGGAGGCTGAGGCAGGAGAATTGCCTGAACCCAGGAGGCGGAGGTTGTGGTGAGCCGAGATAGCGCCATTGCACTCCAACCTGGGTAACAAGAGCGAAACTCCATCTCAAAAAAAAAAAACAAAAAAAAAAAACGGCACCAATCCCATTCATGCTTTTTATTTATTTGCGTATCCATTCTGAGTTTTTTGGTTTGAAGTTACCATGAGGCTTGCAAATACTATTTTATAACTTTTATTTTAATCTGATAACAACCCTGTTGCATAAACAAGCACGCAAAAAGACAACTAATAAAAATTCTATGTTTTAACTTCATCCTCTCATTCTTAAACTTTTTCTTGTTTTTATTTATATTTTATGTCTTGTAAAGTTGCCATAGTTATTATTATTAACTGGTGCATCATTTAGTCTTTCTACTTAGGGTAAGAGTAGCTTACACACCACAGCTACAGTGTTATAATATTCTGTGATTTTTTTTTTACTATTGCCAGTGAGTTTTGTACCATCAGATGATTTCTCATTGCTCATTAACTTTCTTTTGTTTCTGGTTGAAGTACTCCCTTTAGCATTTCTTGTAGGACAGGTCTGGTGTTGATGAAATCCCTCAGCTTTTATTTTTCTGGAAAAGTCTATTTCTCCTTTATGTTTGAAGGATATTTTCACTGGATATGCTATTTCAGGGTAAAAGTATTTTTTTCCTTCAGCACTTTAAATATGTCATGCTACTCTCTCCTGGCCTGTAAGGTTTCCACTGAACTAGTCATGTGGTATTAATTTATACCAAAGAAAGACAGCAAATTTATCACAGTTACAACATTCAGTAGCTTAGCAGATTCATTTCAAGGTCATCTTTTTTAGACCTAAAGTTGCATTTATTGATCAAAAATCTTATATATTCCACTCAATTTTTCTGTAAACCTAAAACTGCTTGAAAAAAGTCTAACTAAAAACATACATAAACTAAATGCAATTTTATTCAAAGTATTAAAAAATCACATAAATTTGAAGCTGTCTCTACTATATCAAAATCCAACACCAGTAGTAAAAGACAAAATATGGTGATGATTGTAATCACTGTAGTAATCCACATGGGTAGAAGGCTATCCATGGCCTTATTGTGTCAAGGAAAGAGAAGCACCTACATTACAGACTAAACAAACACAAAGCATATTAAAGTAAAACATTTTTGTGCAAAATGTCAAAATTTAAAAAGGCAGGAAGTTTTAAATCTGCATTCAATACTAAGTTAGAAGTTTTTTCTTATGTTTTACTATGCATTATCACCAAAGCAAGCAGCAATATATCATTTTCTTTGTCAAAAAAAAGTCTTCCTAAAGCGAATCTTAAAATATGTCTTTTATTATAGTGGCTGAAGCTGGATGTTACTGATAATTATGTTAACTACAAATTTTATAACATAATATTTGATTTAAAAATAAGAGCTTTAAATTCAGGTAATCTCTTTATCATATATCACACAAAAATTACAAGTGATTTTCTAAGTTTTTAAGGTTTTTCAAAAATGATTTGCGTGTTTTTTAAAAATTGGGAAATACTAACTTATGAGTTGAGAGTTTATTCCTAACTTTACAGTGGAAAAAACTGAAGTTCAAGGGATTGAACGATTTGTACAAGGAAAAACAACTAAGAGAAGGCAGATTCTAGATTGAAACTCAGGATTGTCTGATTCTACAATCCATGTTCCTAATCACCTTTCCTAGCATATGCCTGTGCTTACATGGTAGCAATGCGAATTGGGAGACGAAATGTCTGAGCAATGTTTTTTGTTTGTTTTTTAGAGACAGAGCCTCACTCTGTCACCCAGGCTGGAGTGCGTGGCACAATCTCAGCTCTCCGCAACCTCTGCCTCCTGGGTTCAAGCGATTCTCCTGCCTCAGCCTCCCAAGTAGCTAGGATTACAGGCATCTGCCACCATGTCTGGCTAATTTTGTATTTGTAGTAGATAATAGGGTTTCACCATATTGGCCAGGCTGGTTTCGAACTCCTGACCTTGTGATCTGCCTACCTTGGCCTCCCAAAGTGCTGGGATTACAGGCATGAGCCAATGTGCTTGGCCATCTGAACAGTGTTTTAAAGACAAAATCAATAGGCAACAGTGATAGCTTGGATAGATAGAAGTTTTGATGAGTAAGGGTTAGAACTGATACTAAGTCTTCTAGCTGAGAGATTTAGGAAAGGAGTATTGCTACAATAAAAACAAATAAGATGAGATTTTATTTAGATGGAAAGGTGCTAAGATTAATTTTTGGCCTTGCTGAGTCACAGGTAACATTCAGATATAAATAGAACTGTCACATAGACATTTGAAAATATAGAACTGGGATACTATTGGAAGTCGGTGCTGACAATTGTAGATTTGAGCTCTATCAGCAAAAGGTGGTGGCTGAAACCAAAACAGTGGAAGGGCACTAAAAGAGTGAGAACCTGGAGAGGGAAGAGAGTGTGATCTAAGCCTTGGAAAATACCCCTACTTCAGGGATTTGAGGAGGAACAAATGTGAGGAGAGGGCAAAACAATAATATAAAAAACAAGATGTTAAAGGAGAACCAGGCAACAAAGAATCAGGAAAACTAAGAGATAGTAAAAGTGGCTAAAATATATTGAGCACCTGCCATGGAACATACATGTTGTGTATTTTATATTATTTAATCTTCATAATTAAACCTCTTCAGGGAGGTAGGTTCATTTATCTCTATTGACAGATGAGGACATAGAGGTTTAGGAAGGTTAAATTATGTGACTGTCATTCAGCTGGTAAGTCCTGGGGCAAAAACAGGAGTCCATGTCTCCCAGCTTCCGAAGTCCATTTTCTAACTAGCGGTCTCCAGAGTGCACAAATCAAACCACTATGATATGGGAAAAAAATGTTAAAATTGCAATGATAGAATCTCATCCTTTAAAAATTGTATTTTTATATATATTTTACAATGTGCATTCCATACTAGTATAGTAATATATGCATATCATATGTACATGCATAATTTGTCAATTAATAAGTATATGATTATTGGGGTATATGCTTAAAACATTTACTAATGTGAAGATGCAGTAAAACACTTTGGAGGTTACTGCTTCAAACCACTATGCAAACTGCCTTTTTGCCTTGTCCCACACTCAGTAATAAACTGCATTCACTTCATGTAGTCATGTTATGTTTTAAATGCGATGCTAGTTCTATTTTAGTTATACAGAAACTTTTTACTTCATAGGTTCTTTTCATGCCACTCCTTTGTATTTTCTGAAATTTATGAAGACCTTTGGGCCATTTGGTGCTTTGTGATAGTGAAAGAAACAGAGGCCTTAGACCAGACAGACTTAGGTTCAAATATTAACTTTTACTTTACTGACCATATGATCTCAGACACGTACTTAATTTCTCAGAGACTTGATTTGTTCATCTGTAAAATGGAGATAACCTTTACCTTGCAGACTGTTGTAAAATTGAGCAATATCTTAAGGGAACAGCATTGGGCCTGGCATATAGTAGATAATTTTTAAATGACATCCCATAGTAATCATAGCAGTAGTACTAGTTTGCTGTAGAGAACATCTGGGGCCCAGTAGTCCCTCCATTCTAAAATCAAGTTGCATATACAATATTTTAGCAAAGTTTGGCTGAGACTGTTATTTATTCACCTTGGAAACTTATTTGAGTATATATGGAAAGTGTAGGGCTACTGCATATGGCCAAAACAGTACTGCATATAGCCACGTGAGTTGGGGAATGCTATTTACATGAACTACAGTAGGAATGGCTGCTCCTGGCATTGGGGACAGCAGCAGCCCTGGAAATACAGTGGCAGAAACAGAGAAGGCCAACTATATGGCAGCCTTCACAGAACAAAAGGAAATGGATGCCACTGCTCACACATGCATTGGTTGGGATGTTGAATGTCTCTCTATTTGTCCATGCTCTCCACAGATCTGTACCCCTGACTTGGTGGTATTCCTGGCTTGTGCTAATCAGAGGCTCAAAGAAAGATTACTGAAGCGTGCAGAACAGCAGGGCCGACCAGACGACAATGTGAAAGCTACCCAAAGGAGACTAATGAACTTCAAGCAGAATGCTGCTCCGCTGGTTAAATACTTCCAGGAAAAGGGGCTCATCATGACAGTAAGTTCGCTCAATTTTACAAGTCCAGAACAAGAACGCTCTTTCAGATTTCTCACTAGCCCATGTTCTCATTTAGAAATCCTCTTTACCCTAAAAGGTAGTTTTTTGGGGGTACAGAACCAATGGAAAAGAATTTACCATTTTGACCTGATTTGCCTTTTTAAGTCATATTTAAAAAAAACAAAACTTTTGTTTTAGAGTAATTGATTATTATGAAAGAAGATAAATTTTAACCTTGGTCAGAATCCTGTAGTGCTCAAGTAAAAAAGTTTTAAAATAACTGTCTGGGTGATTGTAAGCTATACTTGTCCAATCTCTCCACTCTTCTGTCTTTGGAATCCGAACAAAATTGATAGACTTACAAGCACACAGTTGATGTGGGGTTACAATAGATTGAAATTTTAAGCTAAGCATTGTTTATCATAATGTACTGCATAAAGAAATGAGATTCTGACTTCACAAAAAAAAGTTTCCTAAGGGTTTGACTTGTCATAAAGAAGTGATAATATGTGAAAATGGGAGGTAGTCACCCTTCTGCTCCTTTGATGCAATGCAAATATTAATGTTTTCCTAAATGTTTAGTTTGTTTTATGACTAATGATATTCAATGTGTTGATGAAAGATGACACTGAATCATTAGGTTATAGTTTTTAGAATCTAGAACATTAGAGGTGAAGGTTCAGCTAAATTTATGATTGTCACATCAGATTCTAGTATTAAAGTGCAGAGGAGACAAAGAGGATAATAGGTCATCTGAAAAAAGCACTTTATGCAAGAGGACACTAAAACCACAGCAGCTCCTTAACAGCCCGATGGTGGCCGACCTTGGCAGAATCCTCCTCTCAACCGCAGGCCCTGGCCAGCAGACCAAAGAGTCTTGTCTAGTTGGCTTGTCTTACAAGCCTCTATAGAGAATCTGATCAAAGTGATGCATGCCCATCGCAATAAAAAGCCCATAAAGATGTTTTTCTTCACAAATTTTAAGTAAATCAGCTGAAGCCCATCCAGAGAGCTCCTGTGATCTTAGCAATTCCTCGGTTAAAACTCTCTTCATTATACTAGGATTCCCTTGGGCCTGAAAGAGACAGACATGACATTTGAAGAATAATTTCTTTGCAATCTTTTTAGCTCCATAAAGAAGTGTTTACTATGATTTGCTCTTTGAGTCAAAGTTGTCATGTCAGAGAGTTGTCAATCTGATCTGGAAGTTGTTCACAATGCCGGGGTTCATATTTTAATCTAAAGCAGGCATTGAGGAATGGGAAAGATTTGAGAAACTCAGGGTGGATGCTCCTGTGGCTGTGTTTCGTTGGGGTTGTTGTTTGTTTTTCTCACCAGTTACCAACAGTAACTTCCACATTGTGTCATACAAAAAGAAATTTGCCCTACAAAGCAAACCTGGACTATAAGGTGCAGGCCCACTTTTAATTGATGTTTGCAAGGCATAAAGGTGTTACCAGAGTTCTCTGATTACTCCCTGCTTGTCACATTCGTCATCACAAGCAGAGCAGATTTCTCAAATGAGTGCAGAGCGGAGATTGTTAATTTACTAATATTCTGCATAGAGGTGAAATGCCATTGCCTCTAATTGAGGGACTCAATAACAATGTAAATGACAGCCTGTAAACTCACTGCTAAAACCAAATGAGCTTTAAGATAAACGTTTCTAATTACTGGGAGAAAACTTGCCTAGTTAAGTCACTTTTTGGAAAGCAATGAACACAAACACAGGCTGAGCTCTGGGGAATATAATTTGAAAAAATGGTTTGACAAAGAAGCAAAACATGTGTCCTCTTTTAGAACCTGGATCATAGTTTACTGCTGGAATTAAAATATATTTGGTGATACTTCTGCTTTTAAAAATAAGTTAAATAATAAACGTGATCATCTATACTAATCATAAGCATGTTAAGATTTTATTAAAAATCTGGGGTTAATAGATCAAACACCCATATTTCCTTTTCTCTGTAGTTTTTTTTTTCTTCTACCTGTCCCTCCTAATTCATTCATTTTCTCATTCAGTAAATATTTGCTGAAAACCAGGATACTCTGCTAGGGGCTAGCAGTGCAGAACTAAATAAAGGGTAAGGATCTTTATTTTGACACTGACATATTGCAGGCACCTAGATAGAACAGTACCTGCTCACTACATAGTAAGCTCCAGGAAATGAACAGAGCTTGCAGGGTGTGGAAAAAGAGATATTAAACAATCAGTTATGAAGTGTAATGACTGTTGAGTTATTATATGTGATAATTGTGATGAATTATTGAGTGTGAAAATGTGCAGGGTGTTCTCATGTATGTCATGCACTGTTTTAGGGATAGGAATTCCTATAGTGACTAGAACAGACTCTGTCCCCACACTCCAGTAGCGTGAATCACTTATCTCTACACAAGGTTCTTGAGGGCCACAGAGACCATATCCCTGTTTAGTCCCGTTGAGAAACTTTATATTGGTTCTCCTCTTCTATGGGGCTTTGGTGTCTGACTCCTGTCCCTTGGAATCTCATTTCCATTGCCATTTAATAATTTCATGATGCCCCACAAGATATTAGCCTCTAGGAATTGGTCTCTCTGTCTGTAAATTGGAGACAGTATTACCTACCTCATAATATTGTTGTGGGGGTGAAATGACAGAATGTGTAACAGGGTAGATGATGGTAATGCAGAAAGTCTGTTTTAAGATGCTCCGTGCAGCCACATTGCCTGATTCAGATTCCAGCTACACCACCTACCGCCTGTGTGACTTCCTTTAGGTTACTTATCTGCTCCTCTGCTCATATGCCTTACCTGAAAACAAGTATAGTCATAATCCTACCTCGATATGATTGTGAGAACTAAATGTATGTCAAGAGCTTAGAATGGTGTCTAGAATGTTGTAAAGTTAAATGTCATAGTTGATAATATTTTACAATTTTTGTATTTCTTTTTCTCTCTTCTTTCCCCAATGAATGCTCATCTTTTAGAACCTACAGTAACCACTAGCAATTCTGTGCTCTTTGAAGGAACTCTGTTGCCTTTTCTCCAATACATAGGTTATTAAAAAAAATCCAAAATGAACAGTTTAGGTTGTAAAAACTTTATACATAATTCACGTTTTTATTTTAAAGTGTCTATTAATCAGTTATAAAATTGACTCAGTGTCTTCTTTAGCTTCTATATTATCTGTGCACTCAAACTATATAACGGCTGTGCCTGAGTAGTGACAGACGTATTCCACTCTTTTTTCTTTTTTACTTCATTGACTGTATCTGTTAGCAGATTTGACTAGAGAACAAGTCCAGTATGACTGAAGAGAAAAACTAATGAGATTAGCCAAGAAAAACATGCTGTTGCTTAAATACTGTATCTTACTGAAATGGTTCCCATTACATGGACCGCTTCATTTTCATTCTTTTATTACACATGTCCATATGCAGTCATGTGTGCAAGTATCAGTGAAAATAATATGAAGTCATAAGGCTAGTATATTAGAGACATCTTCATAGAATTTTCTCAGGCATATTTATACATTGTTTTTAACTTACCATGAGGTTGGATATAATTTCTCAATACATCTTTTACTGCTTTATGCTTGTAATTAAAGATTAGGATGCTGTGAGTTCCCAAAGTTTGTCAGATTTTTCTTGGAGTTTGTTTAGGTATTGCAAGATCTAGGAAAGCTACTTTTAGTATTGCTGTGTAAGCTGTGTCTCTTGACCTCTTGACATTATGAAACACTTGGACTTGAAACTATATAATTCTTGAATAGTAATTTCCTTTTTATAGATTTTTAAAGTTCCAATGGAATGTTTCATAATTTTTAATCTTTATTTTAAAAGCTTTTTAAACTAGTCTTTGTTTTAATCATTCTCACCAAATTTGAACACCTTTTTCTTTTTCTAAAAATTTATATTTTTTTGTACGATTAAGTTCTTTAGTGGTGATTTCTGAGATTTTGGTGTGTCCATCACCTAAGCAGTGTATTGAAAATCCAGGTATAACTTTGACTCTCCCCAAACAGAACTACTACTAATGCCTACTGTCAACCAGAGTCTTACCAATGTGTACCCAATGTGTAGTGTTTTATCCCTCATCCCCCTCAGGAACTCTTTTTAAGAAACATAATTAATTAAGACAAGTCAAGTTTTTGTAAGTCTGATGAACTCTGAAAAAATATATGCAGTTTTGTTTATTTTTAAAGAAAAATATCTTAAATTTTGCAAAACAATATGGCCAGATGCAATATATATGTTATTTTTCCAAAATGCATTCAAAATTTTGTACCGTTAGATGTTCTATTCAGCCAGAAAAACATGGAATTCACCAGGGAAATGAATGTACATTTGTATACATTGAACAAATGCTACCGAATATTGGTAAGAATCAGATAAAGTCCACATTTAGCTTTAGACTGAGAAGTAAACAAATGGTCATTTTCCATCTGGACTTTTTGTAGGAGTATAACTTGAAATCAGAAGTAAGTTGTGGTCATAGGATGTATAAAGAGGCCTACTAATTCATACGCAGATTTACCAATAACTCTCTTCAGCCAGGAAAGACAGAGGCTGAAAAATGTTAAAATCAGGATTATTTCTTGTTCATCAATACCAGGTTTCCTGGGAAGTGGCTGAGGAATGTGGGGAGGGCTACACAGCCATTTAGGAAGGCCATGCAGTCCAATGATTCCCTAATGTTAGGACTTACTAGGCCAGAAAAAAATATTTTTTAAGTAGGCTTTTTCATTTTACAAAATGAGAGCCTTAGAAAAAACTCGCAACACTTGCCTTATTTTTCTCAATTTGCTGTGGATTAGGAAACACTCTTCACAAACCAGCATCAGTGCTGGGAAATGACTGACATAAAGAGCACAGTCTGGTCAAATCACACCATTGTTTATTCACCAGACATTGTCCCGAGTCCCAGATAACCCCATGCACACTACAGTTGCTTCATTTGCCCCATATCACTTCCTTTGAATTCGAGAATCCCCACATTATACATTTCAAATTTACTACTGA